GCTCTGAAAAGTAAGGGAAATGGTTTCTAGTAAATTTGTCATGTTGAGGGCAAAGTAAAAGAAGAAAAAAAGTGATAAAATAGTGGCAAAAAATGGGAAGATAATAACAGCAATTATATTTGCAAAATAGAAAACCTACTTCTTCCATTCGCTGATTGCTCCTGAGCCAAGACACATGAGAGTTTCTCCTGTTGCACATCAAAACTTTTCACATTAAAAGCTCGTATAATAAGTACTTCACGGGGGCAAACAGGATAGGAGCTAAGTACAGTATTGAGGACAACTTGATGAGAATGAAGGCTTGTGTCTTCTGTAGCTGTGGAACGAAACTCTAAAGGGACAGAGACCAAAGACCAACCTGCCATGCACTGTATTGCTTTCGAAAATCAGAATGTCATCGAACCCTCTGCTAGTTCCAACTTGCTGCTTTAATACTGCCCATTATTAGGAAGATCAAGGTCCAGGGGCCACACAGCTAGGCTTTTTCTTAAAGGAGTGGCTGTGTGAGACAAATGATCCTGCCTGCTTTGGTGTGCTTCACAGAGTCATGAGCTTGGCTGTGTGGTTCCTTTTGCCCTTTTAATTATGTGTTGTGAGAAGAAAACAAAGCAGAGACTTATCCTTCTACAGCATTTTGAACTTCAGGTTGCCAAAATGGCTTATATACAATCTGAGCTAGCTGTCTGACTGTTCTTGCAAACAAAATGAGTGGGGAGTTGTGTGTTCTTAAGTTAAGAATAAAAGTACCTGTTTTCATTCTCTGGATTTAGATGTATTTATTTTAGAGCAGCTGCTGCAAAGTTCAACTTTGCTATAACTCTGATACCCAGTTAGAATCTATGTATCAGCTTTTCCCACTGGAACTCCTGCTAGAAACACCTACTGGTACCTTTCTCTTCAGCTTCACTGGCTGGGTGCGGAGTGAGGGACCAGAGGAACATGCGAGAAGCTGATGGCCCTGTTGTAGTCTGTGTGTCCCTCACATGTTGATCTGGCCTGTTGACTCCTGCATTCCCTCAACACTCTTATTAATTCTAGAGACTGAGAAGAGAAACCCAAGACCATTGTCATGAGGAGCACTGGCATGAGGGAGCTTCCAGACTTCACTTTTTCACATTAGAATGAGCTCAGTGCTTGAGCCTTGTTCATTAGGGCTCAGGTACAAATGATGGGAAAGTTACTATCTTGCACGATGGGTAGTGTTTTGGGACAAGGCACTGTGCCTTCTGGAGATGATTTTCCCCTGTTTCTTCCCTACTATTAGACTTTTTGACTTGACCTCCACATGCAGCTGGTCAAGATGGTTGGTAGATGAAGAATGCAGTAGTTAGTTACATCTGGCAAGAAGCACTTTCAGCATGACTGAAACGCTGCATTTTATACTAAGGTCAGCCTCAGAAACCTGCTTTCAAAGTCCTTCAATTTCATTGTTAACTATGAATTTAATGCTGAGTCTCTGTACATTAAGCTTGATCAGGGAAGGACAGCAACAGGGATTGGATTTCACTTACTCTGCTATTAAACATCTGTCCTGAAAAACAACAGCTGGTAAAACACAGGGCACAACTTTTTATTTACTTTTGCAATTGTATTTGAACTTCCCCCCTGCTTAGATCATTTTTATCCAGGAGTTTTCTGCTCATATTGTGGGTTTGAAGTGGTGCCAGAGAGAAGGCTCTCTACAGGACTTGCCACTGTCATGGTATGCTTGTGCTTTAAATAGTTGAGTGCAACTCAACGTGGTGGTAAGAAAATGAGCAGTTAATGTTGTTCAAGTGTTAATTGTGCCGGAAATTAGGAGTATGTTTTCAGAGCCTCTACCCAGTGGTGTTGAGAGCATTTAATTAATTTGTTTGTGTGATTTCTCCAAACGAGTGGCAGGGAACCTGTCAGATCACTCAGCTCTGGCACAGCAGGCTCTAGCGGTCAATAGTCACATGTTGGACCTGGGTTTTCTTCCATCAGAAGAAATGGGAGATAGTGAGGGTGCGTGGAAAGTCTTGTAACTTCCTGCAGATTCACCGAGGGGCTCTTGATTTCCTTCCAGCCTTTCATTTTTTGATGGCACCAGCCTGCAAGCAACTTAGGAAATCAAGGTGAAATATCCTTGTTCTGTTCACATGAATATTGTATCAATAGTAGGAGCAGAAGATCTCATTGTAAAAGAAAGAACTGTATGTAGATGTTTTTATCTTAGATCCTTTTAGGAAGGTAAATAGCCTCCTGTGCTATAAGGAGCTTTTAAATGCTGAAAACTGGCACTTTTATGGTATTTGGTCACTGTTGAGATGTAAAATTAACTGGAATCTAGAAAAATTCAGTCACTGCTGCGTAAAGATAGATTTGTGGTGATGTTTTGCATAATTGATGTGATTATTGGGCCCCAATTCTACCTTTTCTTTTGATTCAATTCAACAAGTTAAATCCTTCAAGCTTCTCTCGCAACCTGTTTGAATAATACAGAGTTGTCCCCAGTATAAGTGGTGGAATTAGTGAAATTCAAAAGCATTAAGTCTTCAGTCAGCAGGAGGAAAGTATATATTTGGAATGCATACAATGGAAAGCATCAAGAGCAACGTGCAGGAACTCACCAGAACATGTACAATGTCTGGAATTATAACAGAACTGGCTATGGCACTGGCCACTAATAACATGTGCAAGCTATTCAGGATAAGGGGAATCAGTGCTTCCGGTCACTCAGCTCAGCTGGTCATGAATACATTATCTCCTGCAAAAGCTTCCCTCTTCCTGCTTTACAACACTACGTAATTGTTGGAGTGCATTACAAAAGTTTTTGCTCATCTTGAAACCTGAATTACTGCCTTCTGTGCTGCCAGAGGTACAGTAGGACATCAGACCAGAAGAATCAGTGTTCTTGTGTGAAGGCATATATTGGAAGAGCTGTCATGTTACTTTCTTGCTTTTGCAAGAGATATTTAATGTTTTTATTAACACCTTATAGCCACAGCTTGGGACGTGGAGAGCAATTTCTGTGTGAGTTTCTCCAGTTGCTTGGTCTGGTACCTTTTAGTCCTGCTGGCTTTATCCCTTGCAAAATCAGGTGCTTGCACTGAAGTGTTATCTCTGCTTGCTAAAGTCCTGGCAGCCACATGGTGAAAACATTTACCTTTAACCTCAACCTGCTGTAAGATAGAAAAGAGCCTGAATCAAAGCCCAGGTGAAAAGGCTGTTGAAGCTTGGAAATGTTCATTCTGGGAGCTGCTGTTACATAGCTGGCTCTGGACATGCATCTCTGCACGTGGGGAAGTACAGACCTGTGTGTCTAGCCAATGCATTTGCAGTCTCACCCTGGAATCATTCAGCCTGTTGATCTTCCATTTAGACTGCAGTTTCCCATCCAAATGAATTGAGACTTTTGAACACGAGGGATTTGCAGTCGCAGCACTGGAGGACAGTCATTTGGCAAGTGTCTCAGTCTGGAAAGGGATGGAGTGAGCTCTGGGCAAGCAAAAGCAAAGCACGTGTGCATACCTTTACATTCCTGTCTCGCTTCTCTGAACAGAGATCTCTCAGCTGTCAAAACCATAGTATTTTACTGGCAAGTTCTCGCTTCTCCCTTGGTGATATTTCATGGGTCCTGTCTGCTCCTGTTCCTTCTGGGAAGAGGCCCTGCAGAACCAGCAAACCTGAGGGTGGGAAGTGCAGGAGGTGTTTGAGGCCTGCTTTCCTACTGCCATATTCTGACTTTTCAGAGGAGCCCTGAGCTTTTCTGCACAAAACGCATCACAGTCAGCAACTGGAGCTCTATCTGGATGTTTCAGTATGTTGGCACATGGTTTTCCATGTGTCCTTTGAAAGAGAGGCAGGCACTCAGAAAAGAGAGCTGCATGGTTCGTATTGGCAGCTGGCTCATGAGCTAGCACAAGACAGGCTCGTGCTACAGGGATCCAACTGGTGCACCAGCTCCATGCTGACCCTATAGCAGCATCCTGCCCTGAGTGGATCAGCCAAACACTGAGCAGAGGCAGGCAGGACCCCAATCCTTCTTGAATAGCTGTGCTCAGCTGCTGCTGCAGCCACAGTGGGCTGTGAAAAGAAGGGATTGGTGCCACAACCACAGGAGGCCTGTGGATGAGGGCCCCCAGAGCCTCTTTGTTAGCTATAGAAGCTATAACTGAGCATTTAGTGATTACTACATGTATTGTATTTATTTATTCTGTCTGCAAGGGACTTTCTCCAAAGGGACACAGCCTCTTCAGCAGCTTTATTACGAGTGGTTAATAATTCACATAAAAACATCCTGCAGGTTGTGGGGTTGGGCATTTTAAAGAATGCTTAGATATTTTTAACTTATTAGCCTTATAAGTTTTTGGACTCTCATTGACAATCATGTAAGTATTGCAGTATTTAAAATGTTGTGGTTTTTTTTTCTCTGACTCGTACTGAAGTATGTTTTTCTGAGACATAAGACAAGATTCTGCAAATGTCTATGAATGTGTTCCATTTCACTACCTAAGCTCTCTATATGTCTCGTAAGGAAATGTTCTCCTGCTCAATAAAGTAGGCATCTCTAACTTACAGGATTTTGGCAAAATATATGATGATGTATATTTCATAGAATTTCTCCCTGGAAGAGTTCATTCTATTACATAAATCTGGATCAGTCGTATTTCAGAGTACGGGTATTTCATTTTGTTCCATGAACTTAGTCCAAGGCTGCTGCTACTGAGGTATCTCAGAGTGCTTAGGGAACTTGGTATGTCTCAAAGTGTTGGTTTTCTTCCTTTTAAAGGCTTTTATAAAGTGAAATTATGTCTGTATTTTTTTCAGCTTGTCTGCATGTTATCCAGTGTATATGAGAGGGAAGGCTTTAAATATATCTATATATAAAATATGTTCACATACTATAGCAGTATCTAAAGTAAATTATAAATTCTTCCTTTTCATATGAAAGAGGTAAAGAAAAGTACCTGGCCAATACAGTACCATTAATCTATTCTCTTTTCTCCTTTCTCTCTTTACTTCTCTCTCTACAATAGAAGTGGAGCAAAAAGGTAATTAAATACCTTTCAAATTATATATATATTACTTATGTGTAGGCTAAGTTATTTAACAGTTTAACGTTTTAGTTGAAATACTTTGTCATTAATTCTCACTACTTTTTTGTTAAAGTTTATTTAGTCTCTCTGCTGCTCAACTTCATGAGATAACTCATTTTTGCTGAAAAGTTTTACCGGTACCACTTTCTTTCATTAAATTTCTTTTCAACGTTTTAGATAATTCACTTTTCTCCTGCCCCAAAGAATTTGGAAAGCACGCACACGTATGTATGTGCATAAGTATATCTAATTATGCTGCAAAAGCCTTTTAGAAATGGCACCCCTTTGTCAGCTACTTGCGGTGGTTTCTGAGATTCCAGTAGGGCAATATGCTTTTACACCAGCTGCTAAATCTGATTTTCCTCCTGTTTCCCTCTCCAGAGGATATTACCGATTTCTGAATTTTAGAAAATAATTGGTTACACTCCAAGCGGGGAGCACAAATGCAGGATCCCATCTGCCAGCTCTGTGCTACCAGAAACTTGGGCGGGACGCCTCTTTGCAGCTCCCCACTGCATCTCTCATCCTGGTGGTTATTCAAGTTCCTGAAGATTGCTATTGCAAATAACCAGCAAATATTCTCCCCCTGAAGCCTGTGCAGCCCTCCGGGTCAGAGAATGCTGAGGTGCACAAGGAAGGCTGAAGGCCGACAAGCCTGATTCTCTCTGCACATCCCTCCTGTGCCCCTTTTTGTCTCCCCATGCAGCCGGCCAGACTCTCGGCGTTGGCATTCCTGGGATGCCAGCATCAGCCGGGCAGTACTGACCTCTTCCCGAGCCCTGGGCATGCCCCAGCCACAAGCCGGCCCCTCTCTCTCCCCCCCAGAAGTCTGAGCAGCAAAGCACCCCAGTTAGTCAAACCGCTCCTCTGTGCTCCTCTCATGTAACAATAGAAGGTATATGTTTTTAAGTTACGAGTTACTACTATATTTAACAGGACATTTTTTAACTGATTAAAATCAAGAACCTCGGGTTCCTTTCCAGTGGAACTCTCCAGTTCTTATCCTTCCTTCTCTCCTTTCTTTCTTCCTTCCTTCCTTTTCCTTTCAGCCTTCATACATCATTCATTTTTAATTGTGTGGACTGCATGTTTCGTGTGTCCTGTAGCAGCTTCAGAAGTCTCATTTCTAGTTCCACTACTGGTCTGTAGCTGGGTATTCCCTCTCCTGCTCCCTTTGCTTTAAATGGTTTTCTGAGTTGCTAAGGGATTCTCCTTTGCTTTGCTATTGGTACCCTTTAAATATTTAATATCGCTTGGGCCGTAAGGATGGGAATTTCTTTCTCTTATTTCCATTTCTAGGCCACTCTGCAGTGGGCTGTTCAAAATAACTATGTGGAACAATTCCCCCGGAGTTTAACCCTTCACCTAGTAGGTACAGATTCACTGCAATGTAATCTGGAAATAGAAACCCAGAAATCCTTTGGGGGCACATACTCATTTCAGAGTTTACAAAGGCGAGCGGTCCAAGTAAGTACACCTGTAAAAATAGATTTGAAAAGTAATAAGAAAATGAGCCAAAGTTGATAGAAAAAGCAGAAAAACAATAAATTTGGTGGAGCAAGTCTTGTTCTAGAGGCTTGGCCAGCAGGATGGCTGGTCTCCAGTTACAGGGCATTGCTTTGACCTCGAGTGTCCTCTGCTGCAGAACTGCAGACTATTTCGAAGTTTGATCCAACCACCTCCAGAGTCTCATTAACTTTGGTTTTTGTTTTAAATTCTTTCCCCCTCCAACAGTTTTCCTTTGCCCTGGACTGCTAAAAGGAGTATACCAGAGCGAACACCTGTTTGAATCCGACCACCAGTCTGGTGCCTGGTGCAAAGACCCGCTGCAGGCGTCTGACAAGATCTACTACATGCCCTGGACGCCTTATCGAACAGACACACTGACGGAGTACTCCTCCAAGGATGACTTCATCGCTGGGAGGCCAACCACGACCTACAAACTCCCGCACCGAGTGGACGGCACAGGGTTTGTGGTGTACGATGGGGCTTTGTTCTTCAACAAGGAGCGAACCCGAAATATAGTCAAGTTTGACTTGCGGACAAGGATAAAAAGCGGGGAGGCTATCATAGCTAATGCAAATTACCATGACACCTCTCCCTACCGCTGGGGAGGCAAGTCTGATATAGACCTGGCCGTGGATGAGAATGGGCTATGGGTAATCTATGCAACAGAACAAAATAATGGCAAAATAGTCATTAGCCAGTTAAACCCTTATACATTAAGGATTGAAGGGACGTGGGATACTGCCTATGACAAGAGGTCAGCTTCTAACGCTTTTATGATCTGTGGGATTTTATATGTGGTCAAGTCTGTGTATGAAGATGATGACAATGAAGCCACAGGGAATAAAATAGACTACATATATAACACTGACCAAAGCAAGGATAGTATGGTGGATGTGCCCTTTCCAAACTCCTATCAGTACATTGCTGCTGTGGATTATAATCCCCGGGACAACCTTCTCTACGTATGGAACAACTATCACGTAGTGAAGTATTCCTTGGATTTTGGCCCGCTGGACAGCAGAACAGGTAAGGGTTTTAATACTGGAACAAAATCTCAACTGGGATTTCTATTTTTCTCACAGATTGGGTGTGAAATTGAAATATGATCCTGTGGTAATGATCTGCCTGTGTTTGTAAATTAAGCCCTACTGCAATACCAATGATGGATGTTCAGACATTAATAAATGCAGAATTTTTTTTTTAATATCTTAGTCCATAATGAAACAGAGAAACAGGTAAGCTACCTGTAACTAACCTGAAACAGTCTCCAGATGCCCATGTTCTTTTTTACGTCACAGGAAAAGCAACGCTATTTTCTTCTGAATTGAAGTTTGCTCCATAAATAAGATCATCACCCCTTTTGCAGGAATTTTGGCAAAACAAAGCATGGAAGATGCTGTTGCTGCAAACAGCATGGGACAAATTGCAGGCCAGTTTAGATGAGCTAGTTCCATTAACATGAGGGAGCGTCGGCCTTTTACAGAAGCCACTAATTATTCTGAATGTGAGCACCCACAAATGCATGTCTAGAATCAGGAGAGAAACTGATAACAAAATCTTCCAAAGTGTTGCTTTTTTTCATTTCCTTTAAGTTGCTCTTTTTTCAAAGCATTTAATTCAGGTCTACGTTGTAGAATACTTTCTCTAATAGAGGAACACCCACCCTATCCATCCTCAGAGGATGTCCAGCTTTTCTACGTCTTCTAGTGTCAGAAATTACACTGTTAATTACTCATTTGAGTTACAGTCACTTAAGATTACCATCCTCGTCTTTTTGCAAGTATTGCATTCACAATTGCCACTTGGCTAGTAACATGACTTAGACTTACTGTGGTCATACTTGTTTGATGGTGCAAGAATTTCCAAACTGTGCTAAGCCTTTTACAAATGGTTATTGCTGTACTTAAACTTATTTTAGTCAGAGTTACCAGGTATTTCCTGTGAAGGACCGTGTCTGTAGAGATGCTGAAAAAGGAGTGAGAGAGATGGAAGTAACATAATTTAGATAGTAAACTAGATGATTAGTAGCATTGTTATTTCCAAACTATTCTTTTTTGATGATGAGAAAGACTAAGAGTGGGTTCAAATTGCCAGAAGAGGAGTAGAGATGAGCTTTTCTTTTCCTACATACATACTGTCATCCACACTTTAAAAAGATGCTGAAAGAAACTGAGGATATGAAAATTTGGGGATAGGTGGAATAGAGGTAGTAATCGAGCAATGAATTTCCAATTTTGATACAAAAACGTAAGGAAGACAAGAAGGATTTCTGGAAGAACTAAATGAATGAGCCTGGGTTAAGGAAAGAGTGGGGATCCTTTCAATGATTTTGACCTCTGCAAGATCTAAAATGAGCAAGAAATGAACTAACACTTTTCATTCTCCCAACTTAATGATGAGCATGTACTTTCTGAGTAGTGGAGTGAAGCAGAGCAATTTGTGAGTTATTGGTTATCCCCAAGGAGTGAAAATCAATTCCATCCCTCCTATTTCACAGGATTTCTCTCTTTTTCAATGATTCATTTGCAGGTATTACATTGGACTCTCTACTGCCTCTTTTTCAAGTAGTGACTGTTTTCAGTAATAGAATCTTTAAAAAAATCTTTTTAAATCTTTTAAAAAAGCCATTTTTAATGAAAAACTCAAATTTTGCACTTTTTTTTTTTTTTTTTTTGTAAAAAAATTAAGTACCTTCCATCCCGTTTTCCTAGCAAAGTCTAAGCTAATGAGATGGGAGAGCAGATGAAAATCTTGTGGAGGGCTGGGAATGTCAGCATAAGACTTTGAGTTATTCCCATGTCATGCTGTTTGGCTGGGATTTCAATTCCCTTTGATTTCACCAGTGTTTGGGTGGGAATTTAAAACCCACCATCCTTTAAAATGAAAAGCTGAAGTAGGTTTTGGCTTTGGATGTTGGAAAAAGAGGGTTAAGTTGATGTCAGGGAATCTGGTAAGCCTTCTTGTTCCTTTTGTACACTTTTTATAGCTTTGCAACGTGGACACAAAGCTGAATTTTACATGCGTTTCTTTTCTCTGAAAATTGCTGAAATTGTCTGTTTGGCAGAACTCCATTGGTGTGCCTTTACCTCACTGCTATATAGATTTGAAGGACTTTTGTAAGAAGGCTGCAACTGACAGAAAGTGAAATCCTTGATTTGACAGGTCGAATGGGGTTGAGGCACTTCAAAGCAAAGGAGAATGCATTTGCAGAGGGAGTTCAGTGCTCCATTACCTGCACAGCCTGATTAGGGGGAACATTATTTTACTAGTTAGTCAAATGAAACCACTGGTTTTGGGTTGGATAGGGGAGCAAATACTTGTTCACCATTTAATTCTTTTCAAAAGAGAGAAGCTGGTAGACAAGATCTGTGTGACTCTTTCTCATAGAATCATTAAGGTTGGACAAGAAACACCAATCCATCCCCACCGTGCCCACATCTCCACGTTTCCTCAACACCTCCGGGGTTGGTGACTTCACCACCTCCCTGGGCAGCCTCTGTCAATGCATCAACACTCTTTCTGAGAAGATTATTTTTCCTAATATCCAGCCTGAATGTCCCCTTAAGGATGCAATGAAACACATTTTTTGGCTAATGTGAAATTTCATGCTGAATTTCTTTATATATAAGCAATATCCTTGTAACTATGTGGCTGGATTAAACCCGCCATGAGTCCTCCAACAAAGAGCGGGACAGGAGCCTGTGTAACACTGGGAAAGCAGTGAAAACCTAGGAAATATTTTTAGATTCCTCTTTTAACTTATTTTCACAAACAGCAGATTGTTGATACATTTTTCCCTTCTCTTTTAAAATTGCTATAGCTTCTCAGTTCCTTTAGAAAGGGTGACATTCAAAGAAAGAATGCATTTTGCAGCCATTTTCTATAGCATTACAGCTTGAGTAGCAAAATATGTAAACAATATTTGCTTAATTAGAAAATAAAAGATTGTAAAATTGATGGGTCAAGGAAATTGGTTGTTAAAAAGCAGTTAAGGGTGAAGTTTTAAAAACAGAGCTCTTAAAGCCAAAAATTGATTGTTACAGGCAAAGTAATATATTTAGCAGCCTAAATAGCCAGTTAATGTGTTTGAAACATATTTGAAATCTCTGGTATCGTACATTTCAAGGATATGGGAAATAAAAAACAGGTGCTAGAGGCTCCAGATCACTTAGACTCAAACATTTTCAGTCTTTTCCCAGACCATCCAGGGAAAAAAGGCAGCAGGAGTCTTTTTTCTTATAGGAAAGGCAGGAATCATATCCTCTCACTCTTCACGGCGATTAAACATTTTCTGTGCATTTTAATTAAAGGCCTATTTGTGCAGGTAGGTTTGGTACACACTTGAGATCTTCAGTGTCACAGAGCTTTCCCAGGCCATTGTTTGCAAAAATTGGGCTTTTATATCTCACTGTAAATGAGTGTCAAAATCTGGAGCTTCTGTGCTTAGCTTTGGTATCAGCCCCCTCAGCAGGGCACACGCATTCCATTCCCTGGGCAGCTGCAGTAACATCTCTTCCTAAATTGGCACCAGGATGAGGACACAACTTGCACGTCCTGGCAGTGACACGCAGTGCCACAGTGCTCTTTGCAGGCATGCAGGTAGCAGAGATGGAACCTTGGGGACAAAAGTGCTGCAAGGCCACGGCTGTTTGTTGCTGGTTAAGCTCTGCTTAGGCTACTGGCTGTTCCCTGTGGCAGGATGGAAAATGCAGACATCCTGCTTTTGAAGAGATGTTCTGTTTTTCCCATGTAAGTTCTGTTCAGGAGACCCTGGAAATGCATTATTGGCTGCTAATGGATGTATGATGTTAATAAATAAATGTGCCCTATCTGTGAGGAAGATAGTGACTTGATATACGACTTGTAATGCAGCCTCTTTGCACTTAAGTGGCTTTCGTATACTGTAAATTAACCCTGCAAACTGCCAGCCTGGTGATGAAATGTGATACGAAGCTTCCATCCGTATCTGCGATACTTTAAAAACCTCAGAGAATGCCCATCAAACTTTCATCCTTCACATTTGCCTTCAGTATCTCAGGATGCTCTCTTGACATGTGACTGCATCCATTTTATTCAGTAAGGGTGGTGGTTTCTTCTCCTAAAGCAGTTTTACAATGCAGATAAGGTGAACCCTCTGTCCTTATAATATGCTAATTAAGTGCATTTGTGTCTTGGGTAAAAGATGTGGCGGGATGGTGATGAATAAGAACTTTAAACACATATGACACCTCGTTAAAATGTAATTTTCACATCATAAATCTGAGGCCTTTACTTTGACAGCTGAGTAATGTGGATAGTGGGCAGAGGATCTTGAACGTTTCAAAGCTGTCACGTGCTAATAGGTAGCTGGAAGAGGCTTCCTGCGCTGCTTGCCTTTAATGCCGCTCAGCCCTGCCTGGGAAATGCATCAGAAGGGCTGCCCAATCTTAAATCCCACTTGTGCACAGGATATGAATTGCTATTGCTCTGTGATCCCATTGCGATAAGATATGCTTAGCATCTCGGAAGATTCGGGCTGCATTTTAAAAGGCCAGCTGAGCCTTTTTGATGAGCGGCTTCTCCTGGCAGACAGGGGAAGGTTTTGGGGAGCTGCTGAGTGTTTAATTGCAGCTTCTCCTGTGTTTTTATTTTCCAGTTGCTTTCTTCCCACCTAGGAGCATCCCCCAGCTCTCTCACTCCTGTTCCTCTTGGTTGCTTACAGTGACAGCTGCTGGCTGCACAGTGTTGCTGGAAGTTTGCAGAGATCAGCCCTTGCTTTCAGCAGCCTTTGCAAACTCACATTGTGAACTGGAGTCCTGGCTTTTATCTTCCAATATTTGCCCATATATGCCTGTCACACTTTTTCTATAAATATTTCAGTCTCCTTTTTGCTATCCATGATAGAAGGATGTGGCTGAGTATGGAGGTGAAGGAAAGTAGCGTGGGTACACTACATCTTTTCTAACAAAGCTGGCATCTCAGCCTATGTTAGTTGGCCAGCCAGTACCCTAGGCTTAGAAGGAGAGGAGGGTGTTTCACCTGACCAG